ACCCTCTCTTCTGAAGTCATGCCCATTCTTGAGGTCAAAGGTAAGAGGGTCCGAGGCGCCCTGAGCTGCAGTGATCCGTGGCTCAGAGTACACCTCTGCGATCTTGGGCGCTCCTGCTTGACTTTTGTTCATCGCTCGAAGAAGCCTCTTCCTGATGCCTTTCTTCAGTGTCATCATCGCTTCCTCGATCAAGTCATCTTCTTGAGGCATCTCTCTCAGGACTTGAGCTCGAAGTTCTCCCTCTGGTGGCAAGGTCCCAGGCAAAATGCCTGGATGAAACTTGGATTCGTTTCCTCTGACGATCCAATAGCCTGGTGAAATTCTCTTCTCCCATGCCTCATAGTCCCAATCTTCCAACTGGGCGACACAGGCATTGTTCAGCATGCTTGCAGAACCAATGGGGACGCACCACGGGGCATTCCATGGTTCTGTCTTTTCTCCTTCTTCTGAGCTCAGTTGGTTGGCCCCGCACCTTGCTCCTCGAACATCTTCTTGTACTCCATGGCCTGGTTCACCATCTCTTGATGAAAATTTGGATCGGTTCGTGCCTGCTCCAATCTCTCTGGTCCTGCCACACAGGACAGCCAGATCAGCTGATCCCTCAGCTGTTGTGTCTCGGCGGCATGAGCTTGGTGCTGCTGCATCAAAAGCGCTTGGCCTTCCATCTGGGTCTTCACAGCCATCTCTTCGCTGCTCTGCCTCAGTTGCTCGATGCTGGCTTGTTTCTCGCTGAGCTCCTTCTCCTGCTCGTGCAGCTTCTTCTTCCACATCTCCAACTCGATCTTCTCCTGGACGTCGGGCGGAGTTCCTGATGGAAGAGAGCCCTGCGTCATCCTCGCACTGCCTGGACTGTCGAGTTCTTGGATCACCTTCACCTCGATGGGATCCCACTCGAAGTACTGGCATATGTGACGGGGGCAGTTGTAGAAGTGTCTCCCTTGTGTGGGTCCTGGTTTCTTCACCGTGAGTCTTTGAGCTGGAAGTTGGCATAAGCATCTCATGTCCCTTGGATTGGGACCCGGTGATGCGAGGGACACCTGACTTCCCGGAGACCCCGGGATCACACTCCAGCTTGCCGCACTGCAGCTTCCCTGCGTCTTCCTTGGAGGCGTTGATGGATTCCATGTCATTGACTCGGTAGTCGACGGCATTGAGCTGGTTGTAGGCATGGCCACCCTGGTCATATTCTGGGGCGGTGTCATCGGCGAGGGGATAGTCATAGTGGAGGAGCTGGCCTTGTTTCCTTTCATGGCCGGGATCATTGAGGCTACCTTCCACCGAGCGTGACACTCTTGACACCAGACCTCTCTCTGCACAGTATTTCCCGCCCCGCTGAGAGCATAGGTGGGATGTTCGCACTGCTCCATAGCTTTGGTGGGTGGCTTCATGCACTTCCGTTGACCCACAAACATTCCACACGCTTGGACTTGGCGTGCATAGTCTTCTTGCTTTGCCGTAGGCCTGTGCAAGGACTGGGACACTGTGGGCATCACCGGAAGTTGAATGGGCCCCACCTGCTGTGGAGGTCCCTGAGCTAGCGTCCACTCCGGCAAAGGAGACGGCAATGAGCCAACGGCATAGCCACCTCCGGGCGAGGCCTGAGGCGGTGGATCCGCGCCGACTGGGTTGAGCACAATACGGCCCAACTGCATCAGCAGTTGAAGAACCCCCTTGATGATCTTGCGCCACCGGAGGAGCACCTGCGGGCGGATCTCCGCAGCTTCGTCGACTTCCATGCGGCTGCGCTTGTGCTGCTCCATGATCGCTTTGGGGGTGATGGTGGTCACTCGGAACACGGTTCGTGCCCAACATAGCTTCGGAGGCAAAGGAAAAATGAGTTTGCCACAAAATGAACTCTTTTCGACGTCGGCCAACCTGGGCTGCCTCACTTAGGAGTTTCCAACCACACTTTCCAAAATTGCACACATCCGACCGCGGCGTGTCCGCTGTTCAAGGTGGTCATAGGCAGGCTCACCTGTGCCTTCTTCAAAACCAGTTGATTACCCTCTAAATCAACACATGCATGAAGATCACGAAGGAGGCGAACAGGAAGTAACAAGGGAACGTCTTCTTGGACGACCGTGCACTCCAGAATACCACAAACACCACCCAGACCGAGAGGAACTTCTACCACACCAGCCACCTGCGCTTCCCCACCAACGCCTCGAGCTTGAGCTTTCTTATCAGTCCACACTACTCGTTGTTCATGGTCCCTCAAAGAAGCTTCGAGTCGTTGGAGTGCAAGACGTCCCACCAACCCAGATTGAGCCGCGGTGTCCACGATACCTTGTTGGGGGGATGTCGACAACCCACAAAAGTTCTCAACCGGAGAGCCCTGGTGCTTGATAACCCGCTTGAAGAAGTGACCAAGTGTGAGCTGTCCCGATGAGCGCTCTACCCCCCTTTCCTACCAAAAGGTCTGAGCGTCTGATTGATGTGAGACGCTGAAAAAGCCGGAGCGTGCATTGGAAGCTCCGGAACTGGATTCGGAGGCAGTCTTGTTCTTGTAGCCGTCAGGCTTACCAGTGCACTCTTTGGCCCAATGTCCGACTTGTCCACATCGAGCGCACTTGGTCCTCAACTTCAACATGTCAATGTGGACCCGCCTGCTTCCGGCCTCATTGCGAGATCTGAAGGGGCCGAACTGGCCTTTGCCTTTCTTTCCACCACCACCCTTGCCGCCATCGCGCGACCATTGATGCCGCTGTGTCTTCTGTGCTTGGAGTGCTCGGCGGCCCTCTTGGTAAGTAGCCAACGCTTCAAGTATGTCATCTTCTTCGAAGATCTGGTCCAGATCGCCTTCACCAACCCACACGTAGTCAGTGCCCTCGTCCTCCTCAAGGAACGTGTAATCTGGGTCCTCAGGAGCTTCATACTCATCAAAGAACACCTTAGTGGATTTCTCTTTAGTGACTTTCTCAAGTCTTCGCAGGCCCTTGATCACGGTGTCCCGGTCGTAGCTCCCACTCCCCCACGTGATCAACTAATCCTCTTGCACTTGGGACAAATTGGCCTGTCTAAAAATCACGTAGCCCTTCACCTGGTCATTCAGAATCACTCCCTCATCCGCTAACTCCTTAAATGCGGAGTCAATTCTCAGCACATAGTCCTGGAAGGACTCCCGGCTTTTGCGAGACTCGCCATAGATGGCCTTCTCGAATGCCCGTGGCAATGCGATCTCTATGTAGGCCTAGAAGTGCTCCTTCAACTTATGGACGATGGCTATGGCGCCATTCTCGGACATCAAGTCCTTCAGCGGCACTTCATCCGCTGCTGCCCTGGCCATACCCGACAATTGTCGGATAAGCTTGACGCCGTGCTTCTCCTTCGGCGTCTCCGTCTCGAATTGCCAGAGCTGCCAATCCTTTGGCCAGCGCTTGAAGATGCTAGGGTCCCCACCGTCAAAACCAGGTAGGGCATCTCGTTCTCTCCAATTCGAACTCGCGGCCGCAAGGGCCGCCATCGACCGACTTACGCCGATCAGCGACTCAGGGTCGCCAAAGCCATCGCGTTCACTCATGAACCTAAAAGAGCCGAAGCTCCGCTACCACTGTGGGTAGACGGAGCCAAACCAACAAACCACACCGGAAAGTGTGCCTACCGAAAACGAATGCCGAATTTTTCACGACAGACATGCCCCGCGATCCTGAGCCACGAGCGGAAAGTGCGAAAGTGAACTGCGGTCAAAAACACTCACTCTAAATCATTGCCTTGGCATAAACCTAGTGGTTGCAGAGGGGATAATAAATAGCAAGCTCTTAGCACAGTAGTTTATCCAAGTATAGGCCCATATACGATCGGTGACGAATACACATAGCCACTTCAGGTCTAGACACAATCGGGATCCCCAAGGGTTTAATGCAAATCAAAAATTATGCAAACATATTAGTACATATATACAATGTCGTTATATTGGAAAATTAAAACATGCAATAACGACAAACATTAGTGCCATCGAATAAGTCGCGTAGACGATTATATCCATTTTCTAGCAAATACAAGATGTAACGTATTTAACGTACGTACCGCTTCAATATCCCGGCCTAGTTAAATTATCGATAATATTCCGGGCATTCAAAAGAAAAATCCTAAGCATAAAATTAAGAAAAATCACTCGGCGTATCTAAATGGCTCATAAAGTAATCTAAAATCAATATAATCCCATCGGGAAATTATTCATCCATGGCAAATTGGATTGTTTGCTAAATTTCCAAATAATTCCACCGTTTCTCCCAAATTCAAATATATAGATAAATTTCATATAATATTATTTATTATTTTTCATTAATTATTTAATTGTAATTTATAACTAAAATTATATTTTTATAATTATTAAATTTAGAATTAATAAAGATAAAATATATATTTATGTAGATTATATATAACAATGTTTAAAATATGTATTATATTCGTTTTGTATGTTCAATTATTCCATGTAATGATAGTCGTAATGTAGGTATATTCATCGATGAATTATAAATTTGGTGTCAAAAGCAAAATTGACAAACAATGGATCTAGCCTGAAGTGATTGCCAATCTGCATGTGGATCATTGTCATAAGGTCCTTTCATTTCTTGGAAAAATAAATGTATCCTGTATCCAACAGGAAAAATAGAAGCATGACCCACACCCATGGAGGCAAGCAAACCGTTCATTCTCGGCTTGGGCTCCACTGCCGAACGCTTCCCGCCCTTCTGCATGCATGATCATGTTTTGGCTGGCGATTTTTTGGGGCGAATAGGCTTCATCATGTTTCCTTCTGACCGATGTCTACATATGGTAGGGCAGTAGCTTCAATGGAGAGAAAATGCAGTCTTCAGAGAAGCGGCCAAAACTTGCCCCGGCGGTGGGTGCCACGCAATTTGAGATTACTCAAAGCGAACTCCACACCATAGCGACACCTTCAAACAATGCTTTACAGAAAGCCACAAGTCTCACCACGACATTTTGGTAAGTTGTCCACAACGCATGCCGAGAAGTGCTTTTGCTTGGTGGTATTACTTTTCTAGATTTGATTTATGTGAGGTGGGGTGGCATTGAAATATGCACAATATCAGCAGCATGTGCTCGGCCACTGTCTTGATTTCAAGACGCAGCAGATATTAATTACATTGAAATGACCGAAGAAGTCTTGGAAGACTTCACCAATTGTCTCCCGTTACGCAGCTTCAGGTGCCCCTGGCAATTGCGGACATGTGTCACGTTCAAAACGTCCAAGGTCAAACAATATCATCAGGATAAAGTACTTGCAGAACAGCCTACATGCTGACAGCAAAGTCGTCCAAATCCAGGTGTTTCTTGAAACATCTAGGGTTTCTTAGTCACCATGAATGCATTTAGCCAAATTTATATAGTCCGACAATAGTCCGAGTCCTCCATCTTTCTTCCATTTGCTCACTGCCTGACGGATCAACAAAGGATGCAGAACTCTAATAGTCTTATAAAACCTAAAATTGGGGAAGTATTGAAATCACAAATCATGGTTTCTTTCCCATACACAACATGTGCAGCAAAGTCGAGATAGAAAGGGCTGCAGCGAGGATCAAAACGTGAAGCCCTGGCGCTTGCTACAGAAAGCAGTTCTTGAAACCAATACCTTGCCAAGGTGAACAAAAAAGGCAAAAGAACGCAATAAAGAATCCCACGGATTCCATTTAGCTGGCAAAAGTGTTTCTGGTGGGACCGGGACAATGTGAAAGATTTCGGCTAGGTTCCTTGACTTGGGCCAGTCTGTCACCTTTTGCAATACATTATATGGGGGTTGTTCAAAAGTCCTTTCATTTTTTTCCAGGCCTTTCGCAGGACCTTCGCGAAGCTTTCGCAAGCTTTCGCGCGTGGGGTTTTACCACTGTCGGCGAAAATGGTTTTTCGTTGGGGCTAGAGGCTTTCAAGGATTCATGCAGTTGCCCTGGCACGTCTTGTGTCCTCTGATCACTGACACATTGATTGCTGAGGAACAGGAAGCCAGCCAACCAAGCAGTTTTCATGTTGGTGTGTTTTTGGTTGGGCACAACCCTCCATGAACAAGAGACGGCTCAGTCAGGCCAGTTTGCTCAGACTTCCAATTTGCTTTTTCCCGGGCCGGGAAAAAGCAAAATGGTTCAGACTTCGAATTTGCTTTTTCCGGGGCCGGGAAAAAGCAAAATGGTTCAGACTTCGAATTTGCTTATGGTTCAGACTTCCAATTTGCTTTTTTCCAAGCCGGGAAAAAGCAAAATGGTTCAGACTTCCATTTTGCTTTTTCCCGATGGTTCAGACTTCCAATGGTTCAGACTTCCAATTCGGGAAAAAGCAAAATGTAAATGTATCAGACTTGCAGTTTGGAATCCGGCCTGGAAACAAGCAGCGCCTGTGGGACTCGATCCCACGAGCTTCTGCTTATGAGCCTGGCGCCTTATCCATTAGGCCACTGCTCTCTGAAAAACATGCTTTTTCCAGGCTTTAGAAAGAAAATTGGAACCGCACGCTGGAGTCACCGACCGTGTTGTATGCGCACTTAGAGCTGTAGAACCAACCACCTCACCTCACATACCCTCACCTCACATACCTGCACTTGTGGGCATGCTATGAGTGCATCTGCAGCTGGAGTGTCCAGCGCGTGCTTCCAGCAAGAAGAGTGGAGTGGGGTGGGGTTTGGCCCCGTCGTCTTTCGCGTCCACAATGCGAACCTTTCGCCATACTTGCGCAGTTTCCCACGACAAAGAATTTTCCAAGGGTCGGGAAAAAGCAATTGGACATGTATCAGACTTCCAATTTGCTTTTTCCCGG